TTATAGTTATTTATTTTTATATATATACTATATATTTTGGGGTTAGGCTGTCCAAATTGCACTGTATAATATGTTATGACTTAATATGTTGGGTTTTTTTTGAAATATATATATATATATATATATATATATATACATGTATTAATTCAACCTTAATCTGATTTTCTGGACAAGAAAGAGGGTAAACAGTTGAAATTTCATTTTAAAACCCATATTTTTTGGTCTTTTCATGGCTTATGATCTGTCAAATTTATAGTTTTCTTTATTGGTTTTGAGTGTTTATCTTAAAACTCAAGTTTATTGGTTCTTTGCTCTAGGTGTAAATCGAACACATTTGTGGAGTCGTTTAAATATGTTGGATTTTAAATATATTGGATTTTAAACTGTCATACAATTTTTTTCATCGATGGTCTGTAATTGGAACCATAACTCTTATTTATTCAAATTGTATTAATATGTAAAAATCAAGTGTAACATATATCATCGTTAAATCTTATCTTATAAAACGAGTGGAACTTCAAAATCGTTAAAATTCATGGTTCCCGCCGCATTGCGCAGGTACACAACTAGTATATAATAATGAATTTGAATCTTTTAATAAATATATTATATTTTTTAAATTTTTTTAACATTTTATTTGTAATGGTTAATATATTATATTATTAGAGATTTGTTTCAATTATATTTTAAAATATTATAATTGATTAATTTTTCAAGATGTTTTTTTTTTTTTTTTTTGCCATTTTACATTCTTATCAACTAGTTTTTGTCAAACATAATTTAATCATCAGCTACCGACTAGTTTATCAGTAATTAACTAGATTACCAGTCATTAGCTAGTTTGCCAAACATAGCCTAAGTTATGTATCATATTTACACCAGATTTGAAAAGGTACAATTTTAAACACACAATGATGTATGATTTTAATTCAATGTCATATTAAATCGAGTTATGAGTTTACTTTATTAGAAAAGTTCTCTTATTATTGTAACCAAAATCTAATTTCTTTTGCTACGTTTAAGGCTACAAAATATTAAAACCTAACACTAAACTTTATACGAAACAAATAATTAAAAAATTCAGATACTACATTTATTCCCTCTAAAACGAAGGTTTCGTCTAGGCATGGCAACGGGGCGGGTTTTGTAATCCCGGCCCCGGCCCCGGCCCCGGCTTTTAGTAACAGCTCCCGGCCTCGTCCCCGGTCCTTGGTCAAACCCCATGAAAAATATCCGTTAATTTGAGTTTACCAGAGATCTTCGACCCCATCCCCGACCCTAATCTCAGTTTGAGTCTACCCGGGATCCCCAGTCCCAGACCCAGAACCCATTTTAGCGATGAATCCTCGTTTGGGTTCGGATCAAATGAACCGGGTTCCCTATCAGATCGGAACAAATTCATCCGTTAAACCAAATTTAGGAAGTAATTTTTGTGCTTAAAATAGATGTGGAATATTGTCTAATTAAATGAATAATAAATGTAAAAGGAGTTATTGAATATAAATGTTGTGGACCCCAAGCTTTAATTACTTGGTGTATAATGGCATGTTTGATACGTGAAGCAGATTGAAGAGTCGACATAAGAGAGCCGGACAAAATACTCCTAGAAGATACCAAAACTTCAATGGTTATCTTATAATTTTTTAAAATAAAATATTAAAAATTAAAATTTTTAAAAAAGGAAAATTGTACCACAATGGAACCAACTTTCAAAATCGTCATTTTGGAGAACCAACTTTCACTTGATTTTTTTTTGTTGGGAACCAACTTGGACCTGATTCCTATTTTGGGGAACCAACTTTCAAAATCGTCATTTT